GAAAGTCCCTTATTGAACGGAAAAAGCCCGGTACGCCGGAGCCCGGTACGCCGGAGCCATTTTTCCATAGCTTGATCTATGGTATCAATTTGGCCGCGGCGAATTCTTGGTTGACGTTTGAAATCGTTATTTATTACTTGTAAGTCTCCGCAGGGGGGGGGGAGATGGAGCATCCGCAAAGCAAATTGGATCGAGATCGAACGAGAAGTGACTCCCGGTATATAACGTCCCTTTGTAATCGTCAGTTCTCGTGTATGGATCTTTCATCGATTTTTCGCAAATAACATATTCGATATTAAAAGACTTTATTCATCAGATACGCGTAGCTGCGTGTCTTCCTACGCGATGGCAATTGCAATTAAAACGAGTGTGTTTGACACGTGTGTCTGTCGACTTTGGTCGAGACCGCAACTTTGCGAAAGACTGTACGCCGTCTCTCAGAGGCAAAGACGCGACCCAAACGCGTATCACAAACACCGCATAATTGGCAGAGAATTCAACAGGCAGCAGGCAAAGGGAAATCGCCGGCCCGTGAAGCGACACCGCGCTTCCGGTTCGCGTATTCGACTCTGAAGCCTGAAATGTATACATATCTCGGCTTCACGAGAGACAACCCGTCTCGAAATATTTTCAAAAGACATCTAGACAGAGATATCACGAGAAAAAAGAGTTGCATTTTCCACTACTAAATTTTTATCGAAAGCAAAAAGACTTTTAGAATGAGATCCATATCACACGTGCACATCTTATTATTTAATATATGTGTATTAATATTTCTATTAATCAAATGTTGGATTTTTAAGTACCTATAAAACAATTTATGAAGCAATTTTCTAGAAAATATAATATTATATTTTTAGAAAAGAGGAGAAGAATAATTTTTCAATCGGATCAATTTTTTTCTGAAAGTAATTACAAGATCTGATTAATGTTAAGCTTTGTGTTTGAGGAATAAGCAATGAGAACTACTTGAGCGCGCTTGCCAATTTGAATTATTAAGTATCGAGGAAAAAAAATTATAAGACGCGACAGAACGCAAAGGGAGACGCCAGGGAGAGAGTATTAGCGGGAGGGACGAATCGGCGGACTTCTTCATCGGATGGAAAACTCTGAATGATTTCGGAGGTTGGGGTAAGAGCGAACTGCTGTACCGTGCAATGGATCGGATTAAATATTATTATGAGGAAGAACGAGACATGTCATGCCGCGTGGTACAGTCTCCGTTCATCCCCCTGGTCGGTGGGCGAAGGGGAGGGGACCACCCCTTTCCCGTCTCGCTTCGCGGGAGCGGCGCTCGCTCTCTGAAACCGAAGTCTCGAAAGTTTGGCCCCTTCCCAACGATGCCGCCATCGACTATACCGCGACTATAAGGAATGCGTTTTTCATATCCTCACGATATTACCGCTTTCCGTCGTATTAATCGATCTGGAGAGAAGAAATGGGGGGGGAAAAGAGGCAACGTAAATTCGCCGAGAATCGCGAGATAAGTAGAGGAAGAACATTGAGATCAGACGAATGAGATCTGTTCCGGGTCTCGTTCGCGATTCTCGCGCGTGTTATTTACTACTTTTCTCGCGTCCCTTCGACAAGTATCCGTGCAAAATTCGAAGCTACAATCGGAATCTAATTAGTTGTTCATCAATATCAATTTGTTATTAGTCGCGCCGCGCCTGATGAGAAAAAGGGAGATCTGTCGAATAAAAATCGCGATCGAAAGTAATTAAAGTCGATCGAAGAACGAGACATCGTTTTCTTTTTACTTCTTTTACTCGCTCGTTCTTATTAGCCAACGGGATATCTCCGGAAACACGTCGTATCGAACATTAAGAGAATCACAGACGATCGGGAAACGACAGCCCACCGACCGTATAATTCCTCCAATAATTTTGATATGTAAATACAAGGTGGAGTCTTCTTGTCTCGCGATATCGGCCTGATTAAAATATCTCGGATGCTCGGATGATCTCTCGGAACCTGTCCTCCCTCGTCGAAACTGTCCCAGCCAGACATCTTTTCTATCCCTCTTCTCTATCTACTTGGAAAAACCTTTTTTAATCGAATCATCCGTGCGCCAATTTTCATTTAAATGTTGGCATCAGATTTCTTCAGGTTTTTTCCTAATCGTGAACTTTCTTTTGAAACTTTTACATTTGAACTTTAAGATTAAAAGATCATAAATAATATACATATATATTATTTAATTATATCGAGATTCTGATTTTAATTTCATAAAAATTAACAATCATTACTAATTCATTATTTCCCTCAAAATCTTTGACATAATTATCAATAACTGCTATTGTTTGTACTTTTTATCCACAGGCAATTTGAATATCCATGACGATTAAGGACACTCCTCTTCTACGACAATTGAAAATCCGTTGTTGCCGCTGAATAATAATTAGCGACGAGCACTGACGATTCGTCGAACATCGGGGCGATTTAAGATTTTCATCTCGCAATGTCTTCTGATATCGAATTTACCCCCGGACGTGATGACAGAATTAAAGAAAATAAAAAAGACGCGCTAACTTCGATGAGGGTGAATGAACAATTAATAGCGGGAGGGCGGCTCGATGCTGGCTGGGGTGGCGAAAACGCAAGGAGGTGGCGGGGGTTATAATGACGAGGCACTAAATAACAGCGATCGTTAAGGAATGACGAGATAAAAACCTTCTTGGATCGTTAGCAAGCGTCCCGACTATTTCTTATTCTCTCTCTATCCCCCTCGTCCTCTTTCTCTCTCTCTCTCTTTCTCTTTCCCCCTCCTTGCCGCCCTTTACGCGGAATGGACTCCTTCGCTTCTCGTCGAATATTTCTCTCTTCTCTCGTCCTCTGCCCATTTTCTCTCTTTGCCCTCGTCTTCCTCCACTCAATTCTCTCGCACCCCTTACAGAAACTTTTAATGTAATTGCCGCGGGACGTGAAAACCGCTGATACCGTTGCCCCCCCGCCCTCCCGCTCCTTCCCCTGAAGAAATCCGATCCGTGAAAATAAGTCGAGATAGCGGCACCCCCTGAAATCCCACCCACTCGCTTTCCCGCTTCTCCTAGTCTGTCGGCCTTCTTTCTCTCTTCTTTCACGTCTCTTCTTCTCTCTCTCTCTCTCTCTCTCTATCTTGCTTCTCGTCGAAAAATTGTTTCATCTGCTCCTGCCGAGTCCCGTTTAATTTCCACTCTCCCGGACTATTCCTGATAACGTCGTGAACGTCTTCTCACCGAGAATCTATCTCTCTTTGCACTCCTTTATCGCGAGCTCTCTTTATATTCATTCTCTTTATGCTCTCCCCCTCCTTCTCATATTATGTATTTTACACTCAATTTATCATTCGTTAGCCACGGCGTTCCCATTATTATGGAGGAATACAGTCGGACATGAAAGTTCGCTCTATCAAAAAATGAGATTATTGCAAAATCGAGGATTCTTGTTACATGTAATGTTAAAAAAAATTGTTTTTCCACTATTTTATACATATACAAGACTGCCTGGACGTTACACAACACCGGCGACAACAACTTTACTCTAGTTTGAATATCGCTACCCTAATCGTGCAGGCAATTATAAAGGGGAACGTCACTCAGGGTGCCCGATCGCTGAAGGCCACGAAGACGCTCAGGCGGACGCCGGCGATACCGAAACGCCTCTAACGATATTATTACGCGGTTCATTTAAGTTAGATAACAATGACTGTCTATAGCCGGCATGCAAGAAGGGAAACAGCTACAGTATCCGCCACATCTCTCGCTTCCGGCCTAATTACTTTCCGGCCTCCGGCGGCGGCGTCAGCATCGGAGAGCAAGGGTAACTTGGGTAAGGCCATCTTCATCGACCTACTCCTTCCTTCTTCCCCGTCCTCCCTTCCCTCCCCTTCCCACCAAACCGACCTTCGACCTAACACGGCGTAAGATAGGTAAAGTAAGTAGATAGGCGCGATGTATCCAGGTCGAGCACCTGGCCCGGCTCGTCTATTCGCAAGAAGAGGGCGGGAATTCCTCCTCGCGCGCCTCCCTCTTCGTTTTATTTCTTATACTCCAGTTTTTAGTTCGCCGATAATGCAATTAGTTCGCCGATAATGCCCGCTATCTCTCCTCCGCAGAGCGCGAGGCGAGAATTCCTCCCCGAAGCCGGAGAGTTTCAAGATACCGACCCGTCCGGCTCGATTGGTCCATCCAGTATCCCACGGTGACGTTCCACCGATTGACTCGTCGAATTTCCTTTCTTAGTGATCGTCATCGCAAACGTACTCACTTATGTATAAGTATAGATTGTGATATGGATATTTAAATATTCTTTCATAAATGTCAATCATCCGATAAAATTCCACTTTAACGATACGCGTGTCAAAGAAATTTTTGAAAGCATTTCGAAAAACGAGCGATAAGATGAAACGAACGATAAGTCGAAGTTATTTTTTAAAGTAATGGAGAATACAATTCTGTGTATATTTCTTATCACGTTTTTACGACTCTTCAATTTAGATATTAAGTTAGAATATTTTCTCAATATTTTTGCATGCAACAGAAGTTTGATAAACAGAAAAATATCGGACGCAGAATCCGTGTGAAATATTTTGAGCAGTGAAATATCGACAGAAATATTGACAATGATAATAAAATTTACATTCAGATTTATTAAAAATCTTAAATTTTTTTTCAAACATTTTTCAAAAATTTGTTTGCATAATTTTTTACGCAATTTAATTCTAGTTTTATAATTTCTTAATTAATCAAATCGACATATTCTTATGCGCGAAATATCTTATTTTTAATTTTCGTACATCTAATAGTGATTATAACTCGAATAATAAAAATCAACTATTTATCTATATCAATTATCTACTATTTATTTATATAACTATATATTTCATTGCAAAAAATACTTGAAAATTATTACTATTCACTAATGTTAGTGATATCATATCACTACCTTTTATCCAATATATCTTATCTTTAAAATTCGAGGCTTTAAAAATGGAGAGGCAAGCAAAAGTTGGCAGTAAGTTTAGAGAAGTTCAATAGTGCGGACATAATATTCAACTTATGACAATGTTGTCGAAATCATTTTTAATACTGCCGATTTTATGGATTGTGCAGGCTGATGCAGCTCGCATTCTTGCAATCTTTTTAGAACCATCTTACAGTCATCAGGTTTTTATACAATTATTATTATTCTCTTTTACATAAAAAGGATTTTATTATCTTATGTTGTATAAAATAATATTTTATAAAAAAAATTATTCTTTAAGTCATATTTCTTTATTTAATTTTTTTGGATTATTTCTTAGACAATAAAAGTGTCGATAAAAAAACGTTTTCCTAAATAACTATATATCATATTTTTATTTAATTTTCAAATCATAGTAATTTTTTGACTGTACCATTTTAATATAGGCAAATTAACTTGATCAACTTTAACATTAACATTTTGTGGTTTATTAAATCAGTAATTTTTTTCAATCAATCTTTCTTTTATTTTTAATCTTGCTCGCATAATTTAGTTAATATAAGCTTCGATAATTGAGATACCCATAGATAGATTAACAATACTCGAAGGTGCAAAATCCAAAAATCTACGAATATTCCGCGGCGAGTAATCTGCAATCATAATAACTTTGCAACGAAATAGCACGAGGTTACCGGTTGATCGGTCAGTCGGCCAAAACGCCGACAATAACTCGCGCTTTTCGGGTACGAGCCGCGTAGCCGATTTCCAGGCGAGCTTCCAACCAGGAAACGATTCGACCTGTCCAAGTCGTATGTTTGTTTTGGAACAGCCGCAATGTGCTTCCTCCTCCTCCCTCTTTTTCTCTCGATCTCTCTTCTCCATTGTACGGGTCGCTCTTCTGCTCGTGGTGGCATCGCAGCCGCTATCTCCCACCGCCACCCATCGTCCATCCGATATGCGAACTCAACCCCCTTCGACTGGCGGTGGCGGCGGCGGCAACTCCAGTGAAAGAGCACCCTTTCGGGGTTTGTGATGCGTGCAGATGGTCGTGCACAGGGAAATCACGCGTGGCTGCGCACAACTGCGCTACACCGAATGCAAAACGTTCGGCCGACCGACGCCAATTAGGCCAATGACGCTCCTCGTGCCACCTATGATAATAGTAACGCTCGCTTCCTCTCTTTCGCATCGACCCCCTTCGTCCCCGGTTTTCCTCCCCCGTCTCTCGATGCAACCTGTATGCGTACGGCAATGAGATGTCGAGAGAGACAATGTCGTTATTTAGAGAATGTCGACATTTCATAATATTCGTTGCGATCATATTTCGAAAGATAATCTGATGACGTCTGTAGATGTATTCATTTCATATTTATCCCAGATTTTATTTTAAATTTATCTGAACATATTTTTAAGTAATTTAGAATAACATATATCCATAATAATAAAGATTTTTATGCAGATAGAATGCAATATTTATAATAATTAGTATTTTTATATAAATATTTTTTAATTTTTATTTAAAATGTATTTGAAGTAAATTTAAAATAAAATCTCTCTAGAATAAATATGAAATGAATAAATCTACAGATCACATTATCTCTCGAAATATGATCCTAATATTATAAAAAAAATGAAACAAATATTATCGAATGTCAAAATTGTCTAATGAAGTAGAAATTATTAATTTACACATTTAACTTTAATGACTCATAAAAAATATGGCTATATAAAATTAAAGAATCCTCACAGAATATAATATAATTCGGAAATATGATATATTGATTTTGATCAAATCGCACAATACATAAAATTTTATGAATATTATCACTTTAAACGATATGTCATGCTTTTTTGTTATTTGAATTAGTCATCGATTCATGTATTATTCTATATCAATCCATATATTATATTATTTAAATAGACGAAAAATTCAAAAGCCGAAATGCAGAATATATTCAACTTCAAATTATATATTCATAGATGTAATGTTATTAATGTTATATTTTGTTTTATTGCGATATTATTGTCCATAATATCGCAATAAAACAAAAATTTAAAAATTCCTCCTTTCTATTGCTACATGATTTCTGTTTCGAATGAACATCAGAGGTAAATGACCTTTTGAGATGCCTTTGCGAAAAATACCGAGCGTTATCAAATATGATTATCCGCTATGATTACTATAAAGTAATTAACAATTATCAGCACGCTCACGATTAACTAATTCCCGCGATAAGCAACGCATAACAGTGTATCGGTTATTAACCTTTCAATATATATTTCGCGCACATATTTAATATATTTAATATGTTGTGCGAGATATACTATATACGAAAGATAAATATCCGTCATGCTGATATATGATTACGTGTTGTTTATCGCGAGAATCAGTTAATCGCGCGAGCTGATAATTATTAATTACTTTGTATTAATCGTAGCAGATAATTATTTTTCATAACTCTCGCGATCGCATCTCGAAAGGTCATACACCTCTGCCGCACGAATTACGATCACGATATATGTATAAACAACAACGTGCTATATCCTATGCAGTGTAATAATTTTTTTATTACTATTATACAATATTTAATATATTGCGAAATAAATGCATGCAAAATATTATTCCTTGAATTTCAAATTAATTATTAATGAATGCTATCATGGCATGCCATACTATTATATACTTTAATCATTTGATCCTGCGATTTGTATTATATTGCACACTCTCTAAGATGATCAACAAATTATATTTGAATCGATGATAAGTTTGAACAAAACGAGATGATAAGTTTTTTCGAGACGAAACGTTGTATATAAAAAAAGTATTTATAATTCTTATCTTTTGTCGTTTTGATTGTTACTTTAAATGAATTGCAAGAAATACTTGCTTCGATAAATAGTCATGATCTCAGATCTCTAGTCGAGAACGTTAAATTATCTGAACTAATAATCTCTAATTATTCGTAAAAAAAGAATCTAATATTTTTTATTTTTAAAATATTCATGCATTTTAAAAAGCAGATAATACAATATTTAACAAATTTAAATTTATTCTCAAATAAATAGAAACGGAATTTGAATGCATTTATTGTAAAAATTTATCTTTGAGTGCATGCAGTTTATTCTTCTTTAAATACACTAGAGAAACATATTAGAGAATCTCATAAACAAGTTATCTTGATATGGCAACATGAACTATCTTCATTTTATCTGAGGAAAAACTCATCTCGCATTAAACATTGTGTTTAAAAATATTCTTATTGTATATGTATCTCTGTATTTAAAAATATTCTTATTGTATATGTATTTCTGTATTTAAAAATTTCCTATCTTACACATATTTGTAATCTTATACATAGTTGTTTTTTAAATACAAGATAATGTTTAATGCAAGATGAGTTTTAATGGAAATGCACTAGACTACATCTTTTACGGACGTTATTCATGTTTTATCCGTAAAGTTATTCGTGTCTTATCCGTGTTATTCATGTCTTATCCGTAAAGTTTAAGTTATCTTGTATAATTATTTAGACTTTAAAATCTAGAAAAGAAGAAAAATAACTAAAAAGAACTTAGTCCACAATTAGCCTCACAAATAGACAGTTTAAAAATAGTATAGCCATCAGGTTTTTTTAAACAATTTCATTTTTTAATTTTTTCATCTTATTGTAAAGTAATTCTCCATTAAGTTTTCTTAAATCTTTCTAACATCTGTTTGCTTTTAGACAACTTTAAAATTTCAGGAATTTTTGTCAAATAAAATACACACAAAAGATTATAACATCGAAAGATTATAAATTAAATTAACACATCGAAAGATTATAAATTAAAATAAATTTATAAATTAAAATTTAAAAAAAATTTTTTTCGAATAAACAACTTTGAATGAAGTAATACAACAGTTTTAACAATTTTCTTTAATTTACAACGTGCAATTAATTTTAAAAGGAATTTGTTAAATTTATATGTATTTATGTATGAGAAAATTTAATTTTGTACAATAAATAAATAAATAAATATATATATATATATATATATATATATATATAGAGAGAGAGAGAGAGAGAGAGGGAGAGAGAGAAGGAGAGAGAGAATGTATTTATATTTTTTTTAATTTTAATTTATAATCTCTCAATTTGTATTTTATTTGATGAAAATTCATGTTATTTTGAAAATATCTAAAAACAAACGATTTTAACACCGACGTTAAAAAGATTTGAGAAAGCTTATGGAGTATTACTATTAAATATATAGCTTATGGAGTATTACTATTAAATATATAAAAATTCTCACGAAACATGTTTAAGTAATACATTTGTCATAGTCAAAGGTTAAACATTATATGAAAATATTTTGAAACGCTTTTTATTAAGACACGCATCTTGAGTTATGTTTAAAATTCAGTTATCTACATAGTCTTTATTCGCTTTACATCATAGAGATTTGCGCGAAAAGACGTGCTCTTGTACACGATGCGAGATATTAAATTCTTTACTTACATCAGTTTATGAATAAAGCAAACTAGATAAGATGTAAAAATTTTATCGCAACATATGAATATAGTATATCATATAGTGTACCATTTTTTCTCATTAATGTAATAAAACTAAATTTATATATTATATATATATATATATACATATACAATTATATATATACAATTTATATATATATATATATATATATATATATACAATTTTATATATTATTGTTATTGTTCAAGAAATTATCATTATTAGTATATAGATTAAAGTTATAAATTAAATTAGTATTATAACCTAATTTTCTATTTCCGCATTATTTTATTATAAAATTAGATTAGCTAAAATATTAAAACTAAATTACATTTTTTTTTGTACTTCTGTCTATATATAGTGAAATATTAAAGATAAAATAGAATTATGTATGCATTTAATCGATATGTACAATGTATTAACCTGTTGCATATGAATTTTCATACTACGTTCGCGCTTCATATTTTCGTCCAGCATAATAAAACTATTATAATTTTTGTCTACTCAAAAAAAATTTAATATCACCTGAAAAATGCGATACTTATAAATATTATTTTTATTTATTACTAAATATTTGTGAAATTTATCGTATTTATTAAGCATATATTATTTTAAACAGAATCAACAAATTAATATAAATATTAAAATTAATATAAATATTAATAAAATAACATAAACAATTAACAGAAAGCAATGTATCTTGATATCGCTTATCATCTTTCAAATGATACAGTATATCATTTAAATAATTTTATTAATTATTGGAAAATATTATCGGAGAGAAAGCAAAGTGAAAGAGAACAAGTTTTGATAAACTTTTAAATTTCTCAACACACAATCATTTTAGAAAGATCGACTTTGATTTATATCAAAATTTGAATTTTGCTTTACGAAGCTTTCATTATGATGCACAGAAATTAATCCACTAATCAATTCAAAAATATTTCTTATTATGAATTTAAATTTGTAACGATATTTTTTTATTTTAGCCAGCATAGAAAAAATTTTTTATTTTTGCTCTATCCTATTGTTTATCATATTTAAAAATAATATTTTTATACTAACATCCTCTAGTAGCATGTTAAATAAATTTGATTTTTAAAAATTTTATTATAATAGCATACATATTATCATTTACATGACTATATCTATCTATTTATCATCCAGTATTTTTTATGATAACAACGCCAGATATTTTAATTATATATACATTATATATAATTAGAAAAACTCCATAATTCTTTTTATAAGATTATATTATAAATGTATATAGTTATAGTAACTATAGGCCTCAAACATATGTTTACGCTATTACTTTTCGTGTAGTTCAAGGAATTTATAAATATTAAATATTATAATTATACTGATGTGGTTTTAGGTGGCCTTCCGACCAATAACTGTGGAACTGGCGCGAAGAGGATATGATGTCACTGTTTTTACAACTACTCCCATAAATGATCCTACTATTCAAAATTTTACTGAAGTGAAATTATCTTACTCGGCATATAAAATCGATAAGAATTTGGATGTTATAGCATTGACAAAATTAGGGATACAGCCAACTGTTGAGGATTTTTATAGACGTAATGAAGAAATTACGGATAGTGCACTGTCCCACCCCGTCATGCAGCGGCTGATATCGCCTAACAGCACCGAAAAATTTGACTTAATTATCGTCGAACACCTGGTTTACGATGCGTTTTACGCACTATCGTATCACTTCGATGCACCGCTAATCGGGATCTCATCGATACCGGCTATGAGTATACATCATTATGCATTCGGTAAGCGAAATATTAGGTATTCATGCTTACCTGCTTGACGTGTACACTTATGTTATCAATGTGACTGTATTTCGCAGGAAATCCCATATCGTGGGCTTATTTGCCAGACTTGTTGTTTGGTTCGGGTGAAAATATGAATTTGCTAGAACGTATCATCAACACGTATTACAGTCTTTATCAAATAGTCTGGTATCGATACATGTTTATCCCCGTGCAGGAGAAGATGGTTAGAAAATATTTTGGGAACAGCGTGCCACTTGCTCATCAGCTTGTCTCGAATATGGACTTGCTTCTATTGAATTTTCATCCGTTTCTTTATCCACATGCACACGTTCCCGGGATCATTCCAATAAGAGGATCTCGTCCAATCAATCAATACAACCATAATCTAACTCAGGTGCATATAAGCAATAATATAAAAATATCCTTACTCACAAAATCTATTAATATTCAAAAATTTCTACAACATCTTATAATGTACGAAACCATACTACGCATAAACACATGCAAGAAAAATACTGCAAAAAGTTTCTAATATACGATATAATCTTTTATATTAACATGTAACAACATGAGATTAAATTTAAGTAAAGCAATTTAATTGAAACAAAATGCGTAACAAAAGACGTGTACTTTTGCAGGATCTGCAAAAGACATTAGACGACGCGAAGGAAGGATTTATATATTTCAGTTTAGGTTCAAAAGTCAGAGGCGAGTTTCTATCTGACGAAAGACGAAACATGTTTCTGAAAACTTTCGAAAAATTATCTTACATTGTATTGTGGAAGTTTGAGTCCGATCTTCCGAATAAACCGAACAACGTCATCATTAGAAACTGGTTGCCGCAGCATGCAGTTTTAGGTTTGTAGTTTTCATTGCGCGAAACTTCTGTATAAAATATTATATACGTAAAAGAAGTATTAAATTTTAATGACAACTTTTTCTTTCTAATATAAAAAAAATTACAAAAATGAAAGAGTTGTCGATTATGTGAAAGTTTCTGGTTTATCTCATTAGCACATCCGAACATACGGCTCTTCATATATCAAGGAGGCTTGCAAAGCACCGAAGAAACGATAGAAAATGGAGTACCTGTGATTGGTTTCCCATTTTAGGCGATCAACGTTATAATATAAAGCAACTGGAGGATTATGGCACGGGAAAAAAATTAATTATCACTGACGTGAACGAAGACGAACTCAGAGAGACCATATTTGAGGTCATTCAAAATTCCAGGTAATCTTTGTTTTATTATTTTTTTTATTATCATGTCCTTTTTTTTAAATATATATATCCACAATTAACAATATTCCGAATCTTTTTATATTTTCCATATCTTAATCTTCACTCTAACATATATTTTGATATTTTAAACAGTTAGATTATTTCTTTGTAAAACCATTCAATCTAGTATTATCGAAATCGTTCAATTACTGCTTATTCGAGATACAAAATAGGAGCTCGATTTTTACATGAATTAAATTTCTCTCTAAAATCCATAAATGTGAAAAAATTGAAATTAAAAATAGAAACAACTTTTGGGATATCAGAGCAATTAATCCGTTTGCTATCTCTCTGCTTTCAGTTACAAGAATAACATGCTGAAGCTGCGTGATCTGCTGCATGATCTGCCATACGATCCATTGAACAATGCTGTTTGGTGGATCGAGCATGTCATACGTCACAAAGGAGCACGACATCTTCGGAACAAGTCGCGAGATATGCCTTGGTACAAGACTCAATTATTGGATATACAAGCGATTGTACTCGTATCACTTGTCTTCGTTGCGTATATCATCGTAGTGATTATGCGTTTCACATTTCAAATTGTCAAACAAGAATTAAGAAAAAGATTAGTATCCAGCGCGAAGAAACAACAATGATGAATTATATTGAATACAGATGTCGAAAAGATGATATCTTCATTGTGTGAATTATGATAAAATACAAATAAAATTCCTAGATTTTTGTACTTTGTTGTTTTTACGTCCAAAATTGTATACTGCATCTTGCGCGATAAACAAAAAATGGATGATGACAAAATAAAAAACTTTTAACGCAATCAATGTATCGAACAATGAATTAATAACTCAATATATTTGAATTGTGATACAATTGTGTAGAAATGTTCACGGCTCGCAAACTACCTTTTTTATGTTGTCGACTATATAGGGACAAAATTTCTCGTTTTTTTATTTCATATTGTAGCAAAACCGCCGATTTTTCCCCGAAAAAGAGAGAGAATTTAGAGAGTTAACAATTTCTATTATGTTTTCTAATTTATATATAATATTATGTATATTAAGGATTAAGAGATGTGGTTAGGTATGTTATGGTATGTAGGAACCTTTGGTTTATCTCGATGTATTATATAATTATTATATTTCTCAGGCGTAATGGTTTATATTCAGGAAGTTTAATAATGTTTTTTTTATATTATATTTTTAGATATAATTTTTATTCTATTCTTAAATAAGGATTATACTTATACTCTTATTATATACTTTTTGTTCTCATATTAGGAATATAATATAATAATATGAGTCATATTAATAATATATAAACTGTGTATTATTTAAAAATCCGAGATCCAAAAGCTTATAATTATTTTGTTTTGTAATAAATGGTAATCAAATATACGAGATATTTATCGGATAAAAATCAATTGGATCTAGGAAATATGTTTGTACTAAGTACAAAATTGAAATTTTCTAGAGATTCAAAATAAATTTATTTATTATAGTTTTTTGAATAATCTTTAATAAATTGTGTAATCCAACATAATTGGATCGATTTTAATAATATTAGATTTGATTCCATTTCGTAATATTACTTCCCCAATTTTTTTTGGGTAATAAATAGCCATTAATCCTGGTGAAAGGAAATCAACAATAATCGCTGCAAAATTTTTAAAAATACATGTTGAGAACAATAATATCATAAAAAAGACACACGTAGTTGGCGGTAAATATCTTGTTACATTTAACACGATTAAATTTTAATGATACCGAATAAATAGGAAAATGAATTTGACGAGTAAATAACCCATATAGGCATCTATATCAAAAAAGACATTCAACAAGACATCCCTAGAAAGATATCCATTCCAAAGATGGAACGATCGAGACTCCTGGATTCCCGTTTGGAACGTCCTTTTTGGATATGCATAGCTATGTGAAAGTAGCTTGTTTTCGAAACGTAAATAAATATATCATGTATTTGACAAATTTAATTTATTAACTTTCTGACAAGTTTTTATAAATTCAATTAATTTGTTTTTAATCTCTTCTAAAGCAATCATCAACAATATAATTTTGTCAATTTACGAATTGCATATTCTTTTTTATAGTACAATTAACTTAAAAATACATATTTCTTATAATTACATGTAATAATCAACTAAAGATAAATATTGGCATTTTATTATTGTTGTTTATTGTTTTGTAATAATATTATTTATTATTATATTATTTAATAATTTGTATATATAGTATTATATGTCACTATACCATAAATAGTAGTTAATAGGTATTAATATATGATTATACATATAGTATATATAGTAATATAGTTTATTATATAAGATTACATATATAATATTTATATATGTTATAATATTACTAATAATTACATATACAATACATACATATAATATATATACTATGATAGGTATATATATAGTATATTTTTAGAGAGAAAATGTTATTAATATAATAGTTATGTAAATTTATATGTTTCTATCTTTCAAAGTATTATGTTTTTTATTACGATACGATTACGATTGTTGTAATGACAATAAAAGGTGATATAGTTCTATTAATGTGGAAAATGAATTTTTTCTAAATAAATAATAATCAATGTAGGACTTTACACATATCTAATTATTTATAAAAATTTAACATAAATGTTCAAAATTTAAATTTCATTTCACAATTGTTTAACTCTTTGCAATTTACTGATTAGAATCTAGGGTGTGTTACAAATTAAAAATTTAAATTATTTTTTTACCATATATTGTTTTATCTGTCATTAATATGTGACGTGAATCCCTATCATTATATAATTCTATAGAAATAATGGTAATGAAAATTATTTATTCGAGTAATAAGATGTATCTAATAAAATATAAATTTTAAATATTGAAAACTCTTTTTCTCTTTTTTCTTTACACTTAACTTTCTGTCTTTTTCTTTCAACTGTGTAAAATCTCTTGTGAGACACTCGAAAATAAAGCAATACGAAAAGAACGAACGTAGAAAAATTAATACAATGATAAATTATTTTGATATTTAAATAATTAACTATTTTTTTATATTTATAATATAGCTAAATTTACTGACGTACATAATAATAAATTGAAGGGCGATGACTCACATAATTTTATACAATTAATTGCAATCTTGTTGAAATCAATATTTAATCATTTTTCTCGAAACATTTCTTCTCCTTAGCTTATTGCACTTCACATGACTTTTTCAAGCGTTATTTACAGAACGGATTTAACAGGTGAAATGTCACTCGAATAGCAATATCATAAACGTTAATTTCTTTCTTTAATCTATGCCACAATATATCTCACTTGTCGCTCTTGTCATATCTTAAATCTAATTCTGTTCATGTATTTCCCTTGCGTATTTTAATTCTTATATTATTTAATCTCTATTAACTTTACTTATTTATTGCGGTGTATATCTTATATTTTTATTTACTGATAAATTATTTATTTATTTATTTTCTATTTATTTTATTTTGTTTATTGGCAAATCACGAAATTTTTGACCGTAGAATTTTGTATTGCAAGCTATTGTGTTCGTTGATCCAACTCCTTCGATTTGCACTCGCAGAGGTTTGCCTGTGGGATAAACCGCGCATCCGCGCGTATATACGTGGCGTCGCGTTTTATTACACACGGGCCGAGGAAGAGATATCCGGCGCGTCGCGTCGTTACCATCAATAATTGCGGGATCGGCGCGCAGATCAAACACCGCTTGGCGATGCACAATTGAATAATATTTCGTATCATATCAAACGGGCGAGTGCGTCGTTCGCGGCAAAATTTTCAAGCAAATAATGGCCGATTGCGTAAAGCAATTTCCGCGGCTCATTGCTATTGAAACGTACACCTATATCTCTTCTCCTGCCTCTTCCTCCCACCCTTTCCGCCTCCATCCGTCGGATGTTGAAACTTACAATTTTTTCCGACGAGTATATTTTTGAATATCGCAACTGCGGAATTGCAAACGGAAATTCGCGAAAAAGAACCATTCGAAACATATTGTGTGAAATTAAAGTTAAATTTGCCCTCCTCGGCTAATTTATTTTTCGATACTTCGCAAGGTATACTTAATATTTATTCTGCAAAGAAATTTTACCATTAAAATTGTAAATAACTGTAAAATTGAATATGTGATTACATGCATTATTAAATTGTTCTTCAAGTAGCTTGGTTATTATTGTACATATAATAAGTGTAGTTTTATTGATATTTTTGCATATGTGACATTCTTATTAATAACTTTTGTGAAATTATTGATATTCTCTTTAATTCAGATTTCGAAAGAATTATAATCTCATGTTGTAATCTGCTAGAAATATACTTTATTGTGTACGAGATAAAATTTTTCTAAACATCGTTTATATCTCCGTGTCAAATTTGGACTGA